AGTCCCAAGCAGCCCCCTGGAGTCCCAAGCAGCCCCCTGGGAGCACTAAGCGAGGTAATAAGCAAGCAGGGCGAGGGGAAGTAGAGGAGGGAGAGAGGGTCTAATTCTGCCCAGGTTCACCCTTCTCACCCTTCTTACCTCTTTCCCAGCACTGCCCACCAACACTGACCCCTCTCCTCCGCCAAAGAAGCCAGCGATGAAGAATATTTCACCCTTCAGGTACCACGTCTGGGAAAGGGAGATGGGCAGTCTCTTGCCCCTACTTGGTGGGATCGGATAAGGGCATAAAAGATGTAAATGTAGCAGGTGTGAGGGTGGGCCCATCTATCCTTTCTCTGGTCTTGACCCACGGTCTTGAGATTAAGTTTCAACTTGAACATGTGGGTGTGTCTAGTAGAAACGTAATGAGCCTGGAATGAAGTTGCTTCCAGCTTTGAAGGCAAGGACCATGTGTGAGTCATCTCTGCAGCCCCAGCATCTAGCAAAATACCGGCACCTTTGTTCAGGCTCAACACGTGCACTGAACCATTAGTTGGAGGAAAAGGAACTTGATTTAAGGCCCAGCCAGAAAGAAGCCTGAGAGGTTTAGTAAAGGTGACGGTTTGCCTTCCCTACCAGCCAAGGAACCATAGTGCCTTCTAGAAGCTGGCAGCAGCCACCTGCTGGTGACCAGCAATGACAGCGACTGGGAACTGAATTCTGCCAGTAATCCGGATGATGAGCAAGGAAATGGATTCTCCTTTAGAGCCTCCAAAAGAATGCACCTGCTGCCACCTAGGTTTTTAGCCCGATGAGATCTGTGTCAGATTCGTGACATACAGAAGATAATAAAAGTGTGTTGTTTTAAGCCACTTTAAAAAAAATAATAATAATAAGTTTCAAGTCTAGCATTCAAAAATGCTATTTTCTTCCTGGCTGCTTTCCCTGCAATTAGGGCATTTGCTATTAGGGGGCAGTGGTGCCTAGAGACAATGGCTCCTGGTGATATCTGATTTCAGGATGCCATCTTGTACCATAACCTACATTTTAAAGCAGTGGTTCTCAACCTTCCTAATGCCGCGACCCTTTAATACAGTTCCTCATGTTGTGGTGACCCCCCAACCATAAAATTATTTTCGTTGCTACTTCATAACTGTAATGTTGCTACTGTTATGAATCGTAATGTAAATATCTGATAGGCTATATGTGTTTTCATTGTTACAAATTGAACATAATGAAAACATAGTGATTAATCACAAAAACAATATGTAATTATATATGTGCTTTTCAATGGTCCTAGGCGAAAGGGTTGTTCGACCCCCAAAGGGGTCTCGACCCACAGGTTGAGAACCGCTGTTTTAAAGGATCTTTCAAAAGAAAATTTGTTAAGGAGAGCATGAAAATGGTTCTATGACTTGGCCTAATACTTCATTTCCCCCTCCTCCCCTGCCACAGATCCGTGGGCGTGAACGCTTTGAGACGTTCCGGAAACTGAATGAAGCCTTAGAGCTACAGGACGATGTCCTGGCTGGAAAGGACCCGGGTGGAAGCAAGACTCACTCCAGGTGAGTGACCTGGGTCCCCCTTCAGCCCCACTCCCCTGCAGTCCTATGTGGGAAGGCCTGGGATTCCATTGTAATCCTGCCTTCACGGTAAAAGACAGCTGAATTCTCCCGTTGGGTCCGGGCCCTGCCTGGACATTCTTTACTCTTCCTCTGGTTGAATCCTGTGACCACTTTCCTGCGTCAGGTGGAGCGGTCCACAGCCCCGATATGAGCATGGATATTTCCTTGCCGTTTCTAGGCACCTCTATCTCAGATCTGGGGTCCCCAGGAGGGGCCTGGTAACCGTGGGAGTGCCAGGCAGAGCCGGGGTGTGGGGTCAGATCTTCGGCCCCGCTGAGAGCTAACAAGTCCTGTGTGGCTTTGTTACCCCCCCTTATCCAGCTCAGTTTCCTCATTTGTCGAATAGGATAAGGGAAGGTTGGGAGTTTAATACAGACAAGTGCCCCTGGTGCTCAGTAAGCATGTCTGCAGTTAATGGTGACTATTTCTTTCTTTTTTTTTTTCAAAGAATGTTGAAAATTTTTTTTTAATATATTTTATTGATTTTTTACAGAGAGGAAGGGAGAGAGATAGAGAGTTAGAAACATCGATGAGAGAGAAACATCCATCAGCTGCCTCCTGCACATCTCCTACTGGGGACGTGCCCACAACCAAGGTACATGCCCTTGCCCGGAATCGAACCTGGGACCTTTCAGTCCGCAGGCTGACGCTCTATCCACTGAGCCAAACCGGTTTTGGCTATGGTGACTATTTCAACTTAAATAGCCCTTGTTCCAACCTCAGGCCCTTCAAAACCTGGCCGTGGGAAGAGAGGCCCTACACCTCTCACTCTGGTGGTGTAATCTCCTCCCTTCCCTCTTCTCTCCACAGCCACCTGAAACCTAAAAAGGGGCAGCCTGCCTCCCGCCATAAAAAAAGACTCATGTTCAAGAGAGAGGGCCCTGACTCCGACTGACATCCCTGCTTCCTGTCCCCCGTTGACACCCCCACCCTCGTCCCCCTTTTCCTGGCGTATTTTTGGGGTTGGGAGCTTAAACCTCTGCTTGGTACAGATGTGCCTCAGAAACGCCCCAGAATTCCGTCTGCTCTGGCTGAGGCCTCCACTACAGAAGCTGGCCTGCACTGCTGCGTTTTGAGGGAAGCTGGAGGGAGCTGAGATGTTTCAGCTTAACTTTTAAGGTCTTTACTCTGAAGACCATTTGGGGGAGGTAGGAAATGTTCCTAACCTCATTGTCCACATTGACAAAATGTCAATAATGATGCCTGCTCTACGGGGCTAACTGTGAGGGTTAATGAAACGGTGGATGTTTGGGACCAGGCTCCCGCAGAGGTGCTGGTTCCTGCCCCTGTATGACTGGACAGCTAGTTAAGAGGAGGGAACTTCTAAATCCCTGCTCTGCTGGCCTGGCCAACTCCTGTCTGAAGTCGGGAACCTCACCACCTAAAAGGAGATCACATCTCATCCCACACCCTGGAGGGCCCCACCTCCAGTGTAGGATCCGTATCTTCCAAGATCTGTTTCACTTCCCCCAAATGCTCAGGGTCAATTTCCTCTACAGTTGGAAAGGCACATCTGTACTCCACATCCGCACCCCTTCCCCTCTTCCCCTTTTATATCACATTTTTTTATATTGGTTTCTTATTTTACAATAAAATTTGCTTCTACCTGTGTGTCTGAGGGTGAGTGCCAGTGCTGGCTGCCCGGGGCCTGCAGTGCGGGGGTGAGTTAAGGAGGTGACACTGGGAAGCAGCCACCTGAGTCTCCAGGGAATGTGGGCTGGGGAGCCCCACACCCGGGTTCCAGGAGGAGAACAAAAGCTGGAGACTGGGTCAGTCTGCAGGCTGCATGACAACAAGGGTGGGGGTGAATCCCTAACTCTGTCCCTCCTCCCTCCCTGCCAGGCCTGGCACAGGGTTCTCTCCTGCCCCCTTGTCAGCCACTCACCACGGATTACGGGATTTACGTGTCTCATTTAGCCAGCCTGAGCCTCTGGGGTAGCCATCTGCTCCACAGGAAAGGGGCAGGATACCTGGATTCCCCAGAGGAGAGAGGGTGGGTGCTATTTGATAATGAGAGCAAGCAGCTGGAGGCCTGCCAGCCGGGTCCCCAGGAAGTGGGGGCGGCTAAGGTGAAGGCTGAGATGTGGGGCTGGGGCCTTCCCAGCATCCCCGCATCCTGGGCCTCTTGCCAGGCAGTTGAATGAATTGAAGCTTTAAACTCTGCCAG